TGCAACATGTGAGCTCCTGGGCTGACCTGGTGCTCAGCTCTGGCCCTTGCGTAGCAAAATGGAGACTCAGCCTGCTTGTTGCCTAGTCGGGTGTGTTCTTAGCCACAAAAATAAAGCTAGTGACAACTGAGGACTCTCAAGAGAAAGGAGATTTTTTTTCTTCTTTTCTTTTTTCTTTTGAGTGTCTATAGCGTCTTACTGGAATCCAGATAAAAATAAAAGCCAATTTTTGAAAGAGTGAGGATATTTGGGTGGGAGGAGAAAAGAGCCTTTAAAATGGATCCCAAATGAGCCTGTTTTCTGCTAGGTAAATCCTGGCAGGTGAGGAGTTAAGCAGACAGACCACTCTCCGTGTTTTGGGGGAAGGTTGGTGTAGAATTAATTTAGATGCAATTTACTTCAATAAGGCGGTTGGACATGATGGTTCTTGTCTTTGCTGGTGACAGTTGGTGCTGTTTCAGCTTCCAGGATAGTTACACTTGTGTGGAACAAAGCTAGCTGAGGGAGGAGGGTCAGTTCTTGTGCTTGCTACACCTGTTGCCCAATAAGTGTGTTAGTGTGAAATGGAACTGCTAAGCAGCTTTATGGCTTCATATGATATTTGCAGGGTATTTAACTCGGAGGGGAATGATAATTACCCACCAGTTTGAGTAAAATTAATCTCTTGTTTCAGAAATACTTGATTACATGAGTAATCCAACACAGTACAGGCAGTCAGGAGGTCCCTGTGCTGTATTAAGTTCAGCTTTCTGAGCTCTTCTTAGGAGTAAAAGCATTTGCCTGCTCATTTTGGTTCTCAGATGCAATTCACTTATGTTTATAAAAGATCTCAAAAATCAGAGAGAAGCTGTGGTATAAATGGAAAGTTTCTTTAGAGGTCATGAACTTTTTAGCATGGCAGGCAAACTCCTGAGCATGGGAAATTGCTTTCTTCAGATGAAAAAGGAAAACAAATTCTAGTGTTAGAAACTCAAATAAATAGCATAAGTCTGTATTTAGCTTCTTGTTGTCATATAAATCTTTATCCATTTTCCTGATTTATACCAAACCTCCTAGAACATTCCAGTCTTGGGTGGAATGTGGCTTATGGTGCTTTAACATAAGCTGCTTTTTTTCTGGGCATGTTTGTGATTAGATGACTTCTGCAATTTGGGGAGATACAAGAGGAGTCCTGTGATCAAGGGTTGCACCTCTGTGTTGTCTCTCACTGCACTTCTTTTGGGATAGGTCACTGAGGGCTCTGACTGATAATTTGTCTTCAGATGGATGAGGATTTTGCACTTCCCTGGATACTGTTGAAACTCCACAATATACAATGTTGAGTTTAGAAGAAAACTCCTCAGTCGGTTCCTTCTTTTTATGAAGTCTTTTAAAAAGGTAGTTTTTCACTAGCTGGTTGACAGAATCTGTTTTTCAGATGAGAAGATTGATACACACTGGTGGCAGTAATTCATTACTGACCCCGTGTCAGTCAGAGTGTTCAGACTTAGTTTCTCAGACTGCACTGCCTTGGAAGGAGAACTGTTAAAACAGCAAAAAATTGTAGGTGCCCAGATGATAAAGTGATGCTGTAAAAGCACATGATGTTTTTTAAGTGGTTGTTTTGTTTTACAAAATGTGGCTTATAAACCGAAGCATACAACGACATTGTTGTGCAGTAAATAGTTGCTGAAGTAAGTGCTTTAAAACCACAGTTGCCTTAGCTATTAGCTTTATTTAAAATGGATCAAGTAACAATTCAAAAATCTCAGCATAGTTATTGTATTTACTTTGCAGTTATCTTGACTTAGCTAAGGAAAACACAACTGATTCCAAAAATAATAGATACCATGTCTAATATTATGCTGTAGTGCATGTTGTATGGATTTCTAGTAATACAATGGCTTTTACAAAACCAAACAGTAGAAACTATATACCTGTGGATCTGCAGACACAATATTTGGTTCATGTTTTGTTTGTTTCCCTTTCAGAAAAGGGAGGAATGTGACAACAGGGAATGCTGTAGTTGGTTCTTAGCTGTACTTGCTCAGGCTGTTTTGCCCATGGTTCAAAGCATTAAGCTGCTGAGAGCTCTGCATCTTGCTTCTCTTGAGCTCAGTCAGACCATTTTCCCATCACAGTGTGAAGCCATGTAGCCATGCCTGACCTGGCATAGGAAGCTCATTCTGGAGACATAGATGCAGCATAGAAATTATTCCCTAAAATCCATGGTTGACTGAAGTCACTGAATGGTGCTGGGCAGGGAGGGAGGGCATGCTGGTAGAGCTGAGTGTAAATGGTTGATAAGCTGCTTTAAAGGGTGATTATGCTTCTTATTTTTGGTTAAGTGCTGTAACTGACTAGTACTTCTGGGTATAAGTAGCCGATGGTGGTATAAACAATGAATTTCAAAAGGATTTCACTTAACAAAATAGATCATAATGAAGTAGCTTTTGAATGTGCAGGGGTTTGTGTTAATCAGTGTTGAGCAAAGTGTGTTCTGGGTTATGAGTTTCATTGTCCACATTTTCAGTGAGTGCTCGTTGAGAGTCAAAGTACACTTCTCCCTGTTCAGCATTCACTGAAGAGCTCTGCTGTATTCTCTTGCGTAAATGATGCAGAACCTCAGTAAACTTTGCATAAGAAAATGCCCTTTTAGAATTTGTGAGAGAAATAAAGGGAGTTAAACAAAGGACCTGAGTGTAACGCTTGTCTATCACTTCTGAGCAACTGAAAGTAAAAAACCTGTGTGTGTGCAGTATTCATTTTTCTTAGTTTGGCTTAATCAAGGAGTGTAATAGGCTGGCTTGAAATTTACAGGCATGGCAGTGGTAATTTAATGAAACGTAATTCCAGCTGGTGTATCAGGTAGACTTCAGTGTCTAGGTCAGAGACAGCTGGAAAACCTACCTGACAGCTTAGCTTCCCTGTGGCAGTGGTGCCTTTTGCTGCCCCTTTAAACTTCTTGCCAAGTTTTGCTTTCAGTTGATTTTCCTTGCTGTCACCTACTCCTGCTCCGTTTTCTCTAGTCACAGATAGTAAAGAACTGTCTGAGAGTCACAGAAGCAGGACAGAGGTACTGAAAGATTCAGCACAAACTAGGCTCAGCTTTTAGTTTGTATGGACTTATACTTTGATCTGTATTAAATGCTTTTTGAAGCACAGTAAAACAGAATGGAAAGACCAGTCTTTCTGGAGCCAGTGGTCTGGCACAGAGGTGGAGAGGAGCAAAAGGCTGGAGCTCCTCTGGGAGCCACACACTTCACCAGTCACTCAGTTCAGGTGAGAACAGTTTGCAGGCATGACCAAGGGCTGATATCTTGTGCAACTGGAGAAATTGCTCAGTTCAGCAGTTTCTCAACAAAGGTGGAAGATCAAGAAAAACAGAGACATTTGAGAAATAAGAGCAGGACAATGTCAACCTGCTCTCATTTCCTGTTCTAAAAAAGAAGCTGTCAGTGTTGCAGGAGTGAATCACTAATACTATAGAGCTTACTGGTATATTCCACACTGAAGCCCAAATGCAAAGTTAATCTGATTCTTTCTTTGTAAGCAGCAATTACTTGGCAAATGTTTGTCCTTTGGTTTCACAAGACAGCTTTAACTGAAATAACTTGTCACTGAAAAAGGGAGGGCTCGTTTTTCTTTTCCCATGTACCATCCCCACTCCTGCTTTTCTTTGGTGCTTGTCTTCAAGAAGTCAAGGCAGAAATTAATTAGCTTTCTTTTCAGTTCTACTAACAGGTGTTGTTACAAGCACAAATTTGGATGCCAAAGTTATTCATTATTGAAAAATCTGAACTTCATGTGTTTTAAACAGTGACTACATTTAGGATAATATCTGTATATACATTGCAATACCTGAGCTAATGAGGTACTTGTAAGAATCTAATATGCTGTAAATTAAGGGAATTTCTTCATCTTCCCTGTTACAAAACCACAGCTGCAGGCTGTTTTCTGAAGGGTAGGATCTCTTGTATGGTTAGGGGACTTGCTACATGTCTGTACACTGTTTCACTGAGGTCCATCTTTGTTAGCAGGGACACTTGGTGTCTTACCATGAGGGGTTTGGAGCGAGGTGGAGGAAAGTAGAGTGGCTCTAAGAGCAGCTGAGAGCAAGGCAGCCAGAATGAGCGTGTCAGTGAAAAGTTTGGGAGCTGCTGTTAAGGATGTCCCACTTCTGCTTTACCAACCAACCCCTTTTCCCCATATCTACCACAAGCAATTGGAAACTAAAGTTAACTACAGATGTTCATTTCAAATGAGAAAGTGTTTTCACCTTAGTTTTGTGGCTTGTCATAGACTTCACTGAAGAATTTCTGAGGTTGTGGGCAAACACTGACTCTGGACAGCTGTGGTAGTGAGAGATATTACTTCATTGGCCAGGATGAAAAATTTTAAGTTTGTTTAAATTACCTGAGAGGAAAATCAGCAGGGCTAAAAGGTCACAGTTGCAGGTATATAGGCGCTACTTACACAGGCCTAGATATATTTGGTTAGAAAGGAAAGCTGGGACAGGAATGGCCATGCTGTCTTGAAAGCTTTAGCAGGCTCAGTTTCCTTGCACTTACTTATCTATAACTATTTTTCATATAGTGTATGCTAGCAATTAAGCTGGATGCCCTAACATAAAGTCTAGGGGTTTACTTTGAACTGAAAGTAAAATGAAAGCCTTTGAATCTTGTTTGTGTCATGCTGCTTTATGGTATGGTATGGACTAATTGTCAGTGGTTTTCTGCTTAGACTAAACAAGATGTGATGCCAATCTGTCACAAATACATTCCATAACTAACTTAGAGCTCACTGGAATATAAACTGAGACATTAAACATATTTGTGTCATGGTGGTGCCGAAAGGTGCTTAAAAGTGCATAATTTTTAACTTGGATAAATTTGCAGAAGATCCAAATATTTACTGTTTTCAGTGTTGCAGAGGGTAGGCAAAAAGAGGGGTTAAGGATTTATTTGTATTTATGCTCTGCTTAATGTGTCCTTACCTTAGACTGTTTTTCTCTCTTTCAGATGGCTTGTTATTGCAGTTGGTCTAGTTCGGGCATACCTGGCTAAAGGAAGCTACCACAGCCTGTACTATTCAATAGAAAAGCCCCTGAAATTCTTCCAAACTGGAGCTTTGCTTGAGGTAGGTGTAGTTATCTTGCCTAGTGTTACTAATATTTGCATGAATGTTTTGCTGAGCAGAAATAAAGCAGCCTGTGCTAAACAGTGCTTTCTAGGGACCTGCTTTTTTCATTAGCCTTTACAGAGTGATTTGAAAGTAAAGTTGAGAAATACACCTCACACAAATGCTGAATTTTTGCTTTTAGCAAGTGGTGAGGAAGCTTACTGTCTGCTATTCAGCTTGGGCAGCACAGCTCAATATTAAGCTTTGAAATGCAAATATTGAATCTTAAGCTCTTGTAATAGAACTAAATGTGTGTCTGAATTGCTTAATTTGAAATGTTAGTGATTTGAATTTTTCTTTTTGTTCTAGATTCTTCACTGTGCACTTGGTAAGCTTACAATTTTTCAGTTTATTATTTTTATGGAAGACTGCAGTTTTAGCAATATATTAGCAAGGAAAATGGTATGTTCTGTGAATTGCCAGATTTAATTCTTGCATAACTCACTGATTTTTGCTTGAAATACATTCTGATTTTTTACTAAACAATCTGACAAGTTAAATCACAAAAAGAAAACAGTTATCTAGACTCTTCCAGTGCTACAAGTCTTAGAGCAGTTTCTATATGTTCATAGCAGATCACTGGTCTCGACATCTTCATCTTATAATCTTCTGTGCCAAGCTGTCTTCCCTTCAAAAAAATACTTCTAGCCAGAAGTAATTTAAAATCCAGTAAAAATAACATTTCAAGCAGTAGGACTTTGCCCACATCCACAGAGCAGAGGTGCACAGGTAAGCACTCTTTACCCCAGGTTTGGCTGTGCTTCAGTAGAACTGTTTGGGAGAGTAAGAATTAAGATTCAGCTCGGCAGCTCCTGTTAGCTTGTACCACGAGGCTTGTTTGTTACCTTGTCAGCAGGAGCTCCGTTGTGTATAGGTGGCCTGGGGGCAGTAGCGGTGTTGTGGTTCAGGCAGCCTGAAGAGCCTCTTGTCTGAGTGACAGGATCACATCTCATCTGCCTTGTTAGTCGTCAGGAGTAGGAGCAGTTTGGCCTCAGCATTTGGATGTTTTGTTCACAGAATAGCTGATGTGGCACAGTCTCTGCAAGATCAAAGCCAAAGTGCTATAAAAGGGAGCAGTGCCTGTCTGCACACCTCTGCTGAGCTTGATTTTTCTGAACAATCCAATCTTCTCAAACAGTCATGTTCGGGTGGTTGGTCTTGTGATTTTACTGTTTGAGCTCCTGTCTGGATGTTCACTAGCCACTATTGAAAGAGTAAGATGGCATTAAGGTTCCTAAAGCCGCAACTGCAAACAGTCTGCATACTGTAGGGTGTATCAGATTGTAGATTCGCATTGAATTCTGCGGGTTTTCTTAATGACCAGGTGTGGTGGTTGGGAGAGCTCGAAGTCCTGTACAGGGATGTGTCAGCAGAGGGCAGTCTGACTCTGTAGCTGATGCAGCAGCTCTGATCCTCCTCAGTGCTCCGATTACTCCGACAATGTTATCTTAAAAGGGCAGATTGTAGGCTGTGCACACATCATCCCAAGAAATGAATGGTCACAAGTGCTTTAAATTAATGTAAAGCCTTCTCAGAGTAAACTATATGTATCATCTACTTGCCTGTGCTGCCAGGGCAGTCCTTGCAGTGCTGTTTCATTTTACTAAACCTCAGTTGGTGTTTTTTGCCAGAATAAACCATAGTTTAAAAAAAATTTGTCAACAATTAATATTAAGATGTGCTACTTTTGAAGTCTTACTTAAGTGGCAAGAAGGATGAGTTAAGTCTTAGAACACTGGGCAGATAAAATGCTGTCTTTACTATCTTAAATCCCTTATGTTCTACTGTTTGCTTAAGCTAAACTTGTGTGCAGATATCAATGTTTACTAGTACTAAATCTAGGAGTGTATAAAATTTAATTGGATTATTTTTTCCTCACACTGGAGAGTATATGTCCAGACAAATCAGCGAATAGCAGGAGAGAGTCCTGTGTTTCACCTTCCAGGCTGATGCAGAACAGCAAACAAGGTGATTATACCAGCCTGTCTGTGTGCAAAACTAATAATTCTGTCTCAGTTGATTTGAAGTGTGAATCCATTTAGCCCATGTAGCCCTCAGTAGCACAATTTAATGTTAGTGATGAGACCCATTAGTGGAATGTAGCAACATTTTATAACATTATTATTCATCTTTTTGCTTTCCCTAACAAAATTGGGGTTTTTTTACAGAAGACTTATTTTATTATAACTGGCTATGGATTTTTTTTTTCCTGTTAGTGGAAGCATTTGTCAGCTAAATAAAGAGAGGAGGTTTTGCACAGCTGGATCCACTGCTGCTGTCTGCTGTAGTCCTACTGACTCTGGCAAAAGTTTCTATGCAAGGAGAAACAGGAAATTTGCAGATTCCTTTGCCCCTGCTAAACTAATTGCTATAACTAGAGCTGTAATTCTCTGTCAATAGAGGAGCTTATCTGTAACAGATGGCTGTGTGTATCAGCATAACTTTTCTCTACACATCTTTTCAGTCGAATCTGAAATGTTAGCATCTGTGAGGCAAGTTCTTCAAAATATGAAGATTGATAGGGGAATGTCTCTGTCAGGCATGGCTGGGAACAGAACTTTGACATGTGGCAAAGAATTAAAAAAATGAAGGGAAGCTGTACATGGAATGGAGGTAACATGTAGCCCAGAGACCAAGAGGAGTGACCAGTGGACAGGCAAATGGAAAGGGAACATGCAGTTCCTCACTTTGTGTAGCTGACAGAACCCAAGTGTGTCAATGGCACTGATAGCATGAAAAAGCTTCTGACTGTAGGAAGTTGGTATGGAAAGAGGTGGTGGGAGCCACCAAAATGTATAAGAAGTAGTAGTACTGGGAATTTGTGAAGTGAATGGAGAAAAACAAGGCTTTGAGTACAGGCCCATCCTACAGAATCACTACAGTACCTTTCTGCCATAGTGATGCTCACCAGTAACCCTCTGGTAAGCCAAAGTCAGCACTGGTTTACTTTGCTTTAGCCTGCTCACTTTGGAGGGATATGGGGGCTCCACCTGTAAACTGTGCACACAGTCTGTTCTCAGTTGGGAACTCACTGGGAGAGAGGAACCACTTGTTGGCAGTTGGAGGATTACCTGCCAGAGGTGGGAGGTTTAGTCCAGGATCTGGAACAGGTCTGGGCATGGCTTGCTGTTTTGTTCTGGATGTGAGACCTCTGTGAAGCACCATTCTAGTATATGAAGTGCTGTACAAATGGTGACAGATGTTTTTAAAGATAAGTTTCAAATTGACTGTCAGGTCCCTGTTCAGTGCAGTGAGTAAATAATGAGAGGCAAGTAAAGTTTACATGAATTTTATCTGGTGAGTCAATTATTTTGATCACCTGGTTTTGGCATAGATTGGCATTGTCTTGGCTATAATGGAAAACTTTTTGTCTAATGTGTGAGATAATCTTGGATGGTTCCTGTATAGTCTTTTTGGCTTATTTATAGATTCCTTTGCAGGAACATTAGGCTGTCTTGTTTCAGAAGAGATGGTCTACATGATATAAAAGAAAAGGTGTGTTAATATCCTGGAAGTGAGCCTCAACAAGTACAGATGAGATGTTTTATAGTACCCCGTTAGTGTTGTCTGAGAACACACACCAGTTCTTCCCTGAGGTTTTGTAAAGGAAATTAGATTGTGAACAACACATGATAAAACTGATAGAACTATGTTTGCAGGATTTTCCTTACTTTTTACTGTGAAAAAAGCTTAACATGCATGAAAGTAATTCTAAGGAAACTTGCTTTCGGCTTTTCTTATTCTTTCTTCCTCTTGCACTTTCCAGTTTGGTCTCTACATCTTTCCAAGGCTGTTGTGTTGCTTGTTGTGATTTGCATTAGATTTAGAAGCACTTTTTACAGTATTTTAGGAGCTGTACCTGCTCTTGCGTTTGTCTTCATTATGCTGTTGGAAGAAAATACAACTTTGTGATGTGAAGTCTAGAAATTTTGTGTAATCTTGCAGTCTAAAACCATTCCT